CACATAACACAAGTTCCTGTAGGCAGGATTACCATTGACATCCGGGGGCAAGTTGGTAAACATCTAATTTATCAGTAAGCAAACAGGTAAAGGGTTTATTGCACATTTTAAAAAGATTTGCAGCTTTTATGATAAGGAGAGCTGTCATGTTTGCAAAGAGGGAACACACACACTGTTACAAAAACAGAGCTGGCTTTTGCCTTTCAATTATCTCGTCAGAAAAGGGAGATAAGTGTGGTTATGTATCAGTGTCATATATTCTGCTCTGGCCCCTTTATGCATCCTTTCATCTGTGCTATGTCTGCCTGTTTCTGTCTTTCTCCTCATATACCACGCACCCCTCCTCCTCTTTCCGTCTCTCTCTTGTTTTTCCTGTCTACTGAACAGAGAGATGTTGATATGAGCCCCGCTCGCACGGCCACAAGGGAACAAGTCTCTGGTGCTTTTGATCAGTTGCAAGATCAGACATGTCCACCGCTCCCCGTGTACACCCCAGTGACAGATCATGCAGCATAATGGGCAGGCACAGACAACCAAAGATGCACACCCACACATGTTCTCTCTGTAGATCATACAAGCATGGGCACAAACACCCAATGGAGAGGGCCTGTGGCCCATGTGTTGGTTCCGCTCACAGTGGGGTGGCTTGTTTTCTGGACACGAGGGAGCAAGAGAAAGAGATGGTGTGTGTGAGTTCCACTTTCTTGCCGCCTTTTTTGCCTTTGACAGTAAGATGGATGATTGCAATCACAGGAACCATCAGTGAGACAGACTGGAGGTCTATGGGTCAGTGAGACACAGCCATGGGAAACCAGCCATCAGATTATTGCACGGCGCTGCCATGGGAACGCTGTGCTGTTTATTTGTCTAGAGGTTTTGTTGTTTCATATGCATTTTCTTCTCCCCACCCCACCCTGTGCAGCTTTTGGATGTACACAACATAAATGCTTCCTCGTAAAATGTGTGTAGGCTGTGAGAGAGAGCCAGAGAAGGAGAGTGTTCACATTTCACCACATATTAAGCCTACTGTATGTCACTATATCTCCTCAAACCAGTTCAAAAGTGACAGATTTCATAGCGATTAGACTGGTCTCTTTGATCCCTTGAGAGAATGAGACAGAGACTTTTCACTCCCAAGTCAACGGATGTTTTTAAGAGAAACATCTGTTGCTGTACAAATGAGATTACTGTGTCTCTGGCCAGGGGCACTGTTACTGGGGGGGTGGGGGTTGTCTGAAAGAGAGCTGAGAAGGATCTTTGTAATAAGCTGTAGCTGGTAGTTACCACATGTAAATCAATTTAAAATGCCTCAGATTCTGGGTATTCATCAAAGCTCAGCTTCAACTTGTACTGCCACTGTTGGAACCTGTGAATCTCTATTTCACATTGATATATCCAATATTTCGCCTTGTTGCCAAGCAACACTCACCTCATCCTCTGTAAACTTGTCGGCCTGTGACATGAGGTGATATTTCATCTTGCAGGAGAGGAACAGAGGAGAAGAATTATTGTTTAGATCCCTTTGACTTTAAATTAGCTCTGATCTGTAGTTCACTGACCATGATTATGCACAATCTGCATCCTTGAACTTTGGTAATGATTTATGGTTTTGTATTGTATTGCACTCATTCATTGTTATCTGAGTGCTGAATTCCTGTGCGATATCACAAGCGACTGAATCATCTCTGCTGTGTCTGTGCAGACTGAAAAAAATTCACACACTCTCTCCTCCTCCGTCCTGACGACTCCTTTTCCTTCTGGGTCAAAGACCTTCGAGGTGTTGGGAAGCGTCTTCTCGGGTTCAGTTCCTGACAAAACACAGGTAAAATTGCGAGCGAGAGCTGTTCTGTGAGTAGATATAACCCACTGACTTGGTTTCAGATGATACTTAATGCGTCAGTTATGGCTTTTCTTAGTATTGTTTTGTAATATTTTGGTGCAGATTGCAGCAAATCAAGACGGTTTCACGAGATCCTGTTTACTCATGCTTAAAAGTGCCCCAATAAATAAATGAGACACAAGTACAGATCCTAATCAGGGGGACTGGAGTGGGGAGGGGAGCTGCTCAGACCAAATCTATGTCCTTGGGGAAGTGCTGTAATCAACCAGTCAGTGATGTGCAGACACAAAGCAGGGGCTCAGAGTGCTATTTATGGGATACATGCCACACTATTACACAAGTATCAATCACATATATGGCTCTAAGCTAACAGCAGTTCAAATCCAAGGATGCTCTGATTAGCATGATTTTGTAATTACCCCTGAGGCATGAGATGTATTGCAACAGGTATTTGTGCACTTTTTGGAAGTATGGCCTCCCTGAATCAAACACGCACAGAGCAGGTTACACACACTCCCTTTGAATATGTCCACACCAGAAGTGTGTAACAGTCAGATGAAAGAATCAAATAGTTTGTCATTAAGTTGTTTTGTAGCACCATACACCTAATGCTGCATCACACTATGATTGAAAGCAAGGATTTTGGTACAGCCCTGTTTGACAAAAATATGTTACGCAAGAAAAGGTTTGCACACAGTGTTGAATGCCCAATAATTGAATTCAATAGTAGCAGCATTGTTTCGATCTATATAGGATCTTCGTCAGGGGTCATCAAACAGGCATCTCGCGTGTTTGATGTATTTGTACATTTTTGTCTACACTGTATTTGCCTTTTTGATTGTTCCTCTCATGTCAATGTCTTTTGCTCCTTTAGTGGGGAGTTTTCAGGCAGCATATTTTAGTTCTGGCCTGACTGTTTTTTTAAGGAGCACATTGTCTTCGAATTTGTCAGACTGAAAACATCTGAGTGGCGTCTTAGCAAGGGCATTCATTTCTTTCCATAAAGTCTATCTATCTATCTATCTATCCATTTATCTATCTATCTATCTATCTATCTATCTATCCATATTTTACCATTGAGATCAGTATCTCTTTTTCAAGGGAGGGAATGTTTTTGTAAGTGGGACATAACATGCAAAAAAACACCAGTAGGCCAATGTGTACAGGGCCACAAGTAGCCAACTGAAAAGATGAGAATCTATTAATTTCAAAACTAATGTACTCTTTCTCAAGTCTATCTAAATTGTCATGTGCTAGTTTATGTTAAGTCATAATTTGAAATAAAATTAGCAGTCTCCCAAATATTCGAAGATTTGTTTTGTTCCTTTGAAAGCAGTGAGCTTGTCTCAACTTTGCCCTCAGTCAGTGCTGGAGGTGATGCTGCTTTTTTCAGGAGTGAAACCAGTGTGTCAGGCGTTTGACCACGCTAGTCCTGCCTCTGGTCCTCCTCACCGCCCTGCAGGCCGTACAGTAGTGTTCAAGCCAGAAGGTGGGCTGGTGTAAGCTGAGGCCCCCTTTCCAGTCCAGGTGCCGCCTGAGCAGGAACGGGTTGCGCCTCAGCATCAGTAGGTACCGGGCCAACCCTCGCACTGTGGGGAAGTCATCGACGTGGATGAAGGCCTCAGGGGGCAGAAAGCGCTCATAGTTCTTTCTGGACGGACCCAGGACCACCGGTACGGCACCGGCCAGCACCGCGTTCCATAGCTTCTCTGTGATGTAGTCGGTGTGCTGCGAGTTTTCCAGCGCCAGGTAGAACAGGTACTGTCTGACCAGCCGCACTATATTGCCGCTTCCACTGTCCCGGGGTAATGGCAGGCCCGCGCGCCCGAACACGTCCACCTGGATGTACTGGCGGAGTTGGTAGTAGAAGGTCACGCGTGCATGGGACTCTTTCCAGTTGCTGACGACCCAGGCCACAAGGCGGGACCTGAGGAGGTCTGAGCGCGAGGGTCCCTGCAGCGGCTGCGCATAGCGGGTCTGAAGACCTTTGGCTGTGCGCACACGAGGGATAAGTTGCCCGTACGGGAGGAAAATATCTGAATCTGTCCGGTAGCTCATTGTGAGGTTGAAAACGCCTTCAAAATCCCACAGTCTGGGCGTGTGCGTGGGGGACTCATAGTTCATCCATATCCACTTTTGCGCACGTGGCCGCCGTTCATGTGGCAGTTCAGCGATACCGGTGGCAACCTCCCGGTGGTGGATGATCACAGCATCAGCCTGCGTGTACGCGCGCCGGTCGTAGGTGAGCATGCACCCTCCGATCTGATAGAGCGTGTAGCAGTCCGAAAGTTCGTGGTACCGGCCGAACGGCTGCGTCCATATCAGGAGGGTCACTGTGCTGTTCTCAGAGACAGGCGGTCCCAGCGTGGACGGGTCAGGCAGATAGAGTAAACAGATTGCTATGAATGACCAAAAAACAAGAGTGGCCATGCACGCAAAGGAGCATTCAGCCCCAACTCCCATCGACGCCTTTCACCCTGCAGTTCCTCAGAGGTTTACCGTAACTGGCATCAGTCAAGCTGTCTCCTTTACATATGAGGTATTAACGACACTTAAATTAAACTCGTAAAAAGCACTCGGGGCAGTCGTTTGTTCACTTAAGTGAAACTGGCTTGCACACCCAACACAATCAGGAAATTCTTTTGTTCACTTAAGTGAAACTGGCTGGCACACCCAAATGTCCTTTAGACATTGTACTTTTAGGTATGATGATGAGCACATGGCCTACAGGTCTCGTTATTTAACAGTGAAACACCCACTACAAGCTTCTCCCGGCTTTCCGGCTCCCGTGTGTCTCTCCCGGTGGTGGCGGTGGGCAATTTCTATCTTCTTGGTCAAATAGGGGTGAAAAACATTTGCACCAATGCTGCATGCTGAAGCATTTTGACGTGGCAGCGTTGGTCTGAGTTCCTGTTACCAATGAATAGGGCTTTTGTGAGGCCTGCAGACCGTCAGCCACTTTTAGCTTGAGTAAACACTTTGCACCAGGGCGCGGTGTTCTGCTGATGAAATAAGCCAAGGTCAGTTTTTAAAGAACGAGGCATAGCCTATTTATCATTTTGTGAGTAAATGAATGGAGGCCCAGGGGTCAAATTTAGGATTGGCAGTACTGTAGTATCATTTAAAGTTCTGGTCAGTAAACTCAGTAGCAATAATTACTAAATAATGTGACAACTGAAAACTTTCTGTACATGCTATAATATTACAGGTTGTAAAACAAGTGTAACAGGCTGCTCAACAGCCTATGTGCTTCATATAAAACGCTACACGGGCCATTCACCACTAGGTGTCTCCCTACACAAACACAAGGCTGGCAGTGGCGCGTCCTGCCCGGTTTGTGCAGTACAGTCATATTGGGATTTACCTCCAGACTTGTATGTTTAATTTGACTAATGAATAAACATTTCAGCTGAAAATTGGGCCTGCTGCAGCAAAGCTCTGACAAGGTTTGTTTTCATTGTTTTATTTATTAGATATGAGCCAGCACTGCAACACTCTCTAACCAGAAATGTTAATAAATTACTCAGTTTTAATTTTGTGAGCTAACCTAAACAAATACTGAACAAAAAAAAGTAAGCACACAAACTCTTGTTATGTGAAGGCATTCTGTTCAAAACTCATAAACAAATGATGAGGCAGCAGGGTTGAAAATCCTGTACTGTGTGTTGTTTCTGAGCTCTGGTGGGCAGGAAAAACACTCCGTGACTGGGACAACATTATTCCTCCCCACAGACACAGAGCATGTGAAGTCTGAATGTGAGCGGAAAAAATGGCAGTCAAGGAGGAACGGGAGGAGATGAAGCGAGAAGCATGTGTGTCTCCGCTGGGCCCTCCTCCTTCCTGTTCCATCCATTCACTTTTCTTCACCATGTACCAAAAAAAAAAGCTCCCTGTGTGTTTGTGTGCATGCATGTGTGTGACTAACAGGTTTTGTATTCTCTCTGCATTTTTTATCCTCCCTTTCATCTGAACAGTTCTATTTTGAGCTGATCATTTGCTGTCCTGCCCAGGGTTACCTCACGTTGGGAAGAACCGCCTCAACTTATGGCTACATGATGAGGCTCAGCATTATAAACATGTCTTTCTTCAGGAAAATGAGATGAGGCTGAAGTTGTAATAACATGTAAAAAAAACCAACTGATTTATCTTCTTCTAAATCAGTTTTGTTTATTTTAATCCATTTGTTATGCAGCACAAACGCATGCAAAAGTTGCTGGGAATGTGCTATAATTAAAGTTGAACTGATTGGTGATATGGTGACATTTCGTGACTACACAAAGCTTGGCATTTATGTGTGCTTCATCTTCCCTCTGCTCTCTTGCTAGAAAAATAACTTTTTCTCATCAAGCTGTTTCATTTGCTGTTGTGGACCTTGAATCTCTGAGGAGGGATCAATATTGCCCCTGTCTGTGTTCAACGGTCAGTGCAGCTATTGGCCACAAGTGTACATGTGTACAACAGACTGAAGGACAGAAAACAGACAAACAAGCTTGTCAGGTCATTTCACATTGACCTTGGAAGCCATCTTTTGCTGTGTCACTGAACTTATTACTGGTAGTGATACACAAAAAGCTGTATATTTAGCAAACTTTGTCTCTAGTTTTGTACAATCTTCAGGCTTGGGTTTACTAGTGCGTTCCTGTTTCTCAAAAGTAGTACCGCTGTGTATCTATGTGTTTGTGCGTGTGTGAATCATACCAGCACAGAGAGAAGCATTCAGGTTTTGATAGGACCCCCAGGTCTTAACTCATCTTCCCTATTGATTTTCTCTTGCTTTCCTTTTTGCTCTCCCAGGGGACGAGATGTCTCAATTGGTCCCGGCCAGTGAAAGAGAGTGAGTGAAGAAGAAACAGATAGAAGATGAGGGAATGGTGGGGGTGAACACAGAGGAGGGAGGAGGAAGAGGCAAGAGGGGCCAACAGGCTCCCTGGTCACAGAGGCCCTCACTGACCCCTGACCTTGATCATGACCTTAAAGGTTACCCCACAGGTCAGAGGTTGTGTGAAAGTGCCATTGTGCCGATTCACTACACTGCTGGGTGATGATGATCTTATGCAGCCTCCCCAGACTGTCTGACATGATCAGTGTTGCTCTCTGCCTATGGCTCCCAAGGGCCACACATCCATCTCTAACCCGGCCGCACGAGGATCGCTAAAAGCACCTTACAGGCAGAGTCAATGAGCAGAAGAAAAAGGGACACAAACAGAGAAAAGTGGCAAAGCTAAAGGACAGGAAAGCTGTTTTATTTTATACCGTCCCAACCTCTCGGGGTATAAGATCTAGTTGTAAATGGCACTGACACAGAGAATGTGTGTTTATTTTTATATTTAAACTCTCACCAGATGTACATGAAGTGATTATACTTTTTAGAGGCTAAAAGCATGGGTTCCAACATGTTCCTTTCCTTGTCATGAACACTTTATGCTGTTTCTTTCTCCTCCCTCATTTTACCACAGAGTGTAATAAAAAGACGTGTAAGGGAATAAAACCCTCTGAAGTCACTCATGCCAGACACACATAAACCTTTGTAGCAATAACATGATCATTTGTAGGTGGACTGAAAAGTCACTCTGTTATTTGTTCCAGCGTACACAGTGTTCCTCCTGCTGCTTCAAAGTAATCCAGCCTTGTGAAGCTGCAGTCAAATCCTTGTGGTGGCAGTGTGTGCTGAAATGCAAAGTTTGAGAGGAGCAATTCAAAGTCATCCGATTTATAATGAACACAACAAAGTTTGCATCAAGATCAATTTACCAGATGGAATTATTACTTTACTGGATGTAATCTGAACAAAAGAAATGTAGCAGTTTGTTAGCAAAGCTTTATGTAAAGGAGAAGTTAAGAGAAAGTCAAATATCTCTGTTTGCACAATTGTGCTCAGGTAGATTAAGGTTTAATAGTCCCCCTGAACAGAAAATGCTTTGTTTGTTCTATGATTTTAGATAAGATTGAAGTTCATTTCATATGTTTTTGTTCATTATGGGTTGATTTCTAAGGCATACTTTTTAATTAAATGTTCCTTTGTATGTCAAATTATGAAATTATGTTTAGGCAGCTTTTAAAAGAGGAAACTCAGAGGTGTGTCTATATTTTTGTCCTCCCCAGCTACATAGGATCAGAATATTAGGAACACCTCTGAATATAATGTAGTCCAGTACAATGCCACCTTTAACTATGACTTCAGTTCTAAACATATAATTGAATTTATACATTTATGACAATTTCATAAGGAACTGAAAAATTTTGAGCGTCATAAACACAGATGTTAAGGAGGAAGTGTTGCGTGCATACAATTTTACAGGTGTACCTAATAAAATGGTTGGTGAGTGTATAACTGTCCAAGTAAACAGTGTGTTACCAATGTTAATAATCTTACCATGTATTTTGGAGTTATTTTCAGCTGTTATGTTAATTGATAACATATTCTTTGGTTCTCTTTCTTTCACTTTTAGTAATATAAGTGGCATAAAAATACACGATGTTTACTTTAGTTATGTATTTACTTTGTGTGATAGTAGGATACAACTATATAGACACGAAGTAATGGACATGCTGCTAAGCTACTAAGCCTCTGTGGATTATCTCAGACCTGTATTTCTGGTTTGACTTAATGATAGGTAGGATCACAAGTTATGCAGGCCAAGCCAAGGAAACATTGATTAACAAGGATTAGACACAGGATCCATTGGTTCAAATGCAATATGTTGTCTAAAAAGTGAACATCTTTTCAGCATTTATTATGTAACTTAGTGCAGTCAATTGCTCAAAACTTTTTAAAAGACAAATGTGATGTAATCGCATTTGACACAGAAAGTAATTTGAATTGTGCTACTATTATATCTTTATTCATAGCTAGCTTTCGTTATTTAGATTGTAACTGAATGCTAAGTCTAAGTCAATACTTCTCATTACTTCCTGGGTGTGACGGGCAAATTAAACCCAGCCTTTAATTCACTGCATTATGTCTATAAATGAAGTACAGAATAAGGCAAAGCCATTTAGGTTACATATCAGATAAGCACTGAGCACCATTTACCTTGCAGAAGGAAGGAGACACAGACACACTGAAATCAAATCAAGTAATGACCTGAAAGTTAAGTTAATTCAAAGCACAAAAATACCCACCTTTGTATCCACACAAATGCAGTGAAAGAGGTGTTATTATCTATGGCAAATTCTCATGTTAAGTGTAGTGAATGCAATTAATGTGCAGTGGCTGTAAAGAAATGAAAATGATTGAAGAGAGAAAAAAGGCTATGAATATTTTGTTTAAAGCTGAGCTGATAAAAAGGGTGTATAGGCTCTGCGTGGTCAAGAAAAATAAAGTAGGCTCAGAAGTGTGAATGCAGGCATGGATTTTCCACACAGCTATGGGCTCACAACACACTTGGCAAATCAAATTTGGGAAGCCACAAAGTGCTAAAAATGAAAACAGTGCGTATAACAAATGTGTTACCCTGATAAGGCAGCGTGACTCTGGTTGTGTGCAGAGCAGTTGGAGGCTGAAGTTGAGGTGTGATGTGTTTTAAGGTACATGAAGTGGTATGGTTTGGCACAGTGTAATTAGAAATTCTTTGCCTATCCCTCTGACACACATCCACACACTGAGGGGGGTCGGAGGACATGGTCAACAGGACCGATGCCAGAGGAGCAGCAGGGTTCGCTGTGCTGCTCAAGGGCATTTCAGCAAAAGATATGTAGGCACACTGCGACCAGAACCAATGGGCTGCCATACAGCAATGACTTGACTGAAGGAACTACACAACAGTCTTATTGATTAACTAATCTGATTAATTAAGAGACTTATTAAGGACTAAAAGAATGTCTTGAATAAGAATATTAAGACTTACTTTCTTAATCACATTATTGTAATTGAGAAAATCATGAGCCTTGTGAAAGTCCACTCCATCTTTTACCAATTCTTTATAAATGGCCAAGGTCAGCAGGTCATCTCCAGCCCTACTATGCGGAGTTTGTAGATCCACCCCTTTTAATTAAAATAAAATAAGACATATGTATCAAGAAAATGTAATTATGGTGGTTATTTATTACATTTCTATAAATGGTCTTCATACACGTTCATAACAGAACAGAACACAAATCGCGGATCATTAAAAAAACTATCAAACAAACAACAACAACGACAACAAAACAAACAAAAACACATACACAAAACCAACACAGCGTTTATTAACTCTTTTTTCATTTTGTTCATGTTGTTCTAACAAAATGTAAACTCATAATTATTATTCAAGTAGGTGCATGGCAAAATGACTTCTTACCAACTCACTTTTTATTTCTAAATTTGACAGTCACACTGCCGTTTTGTGGGAGCAATGAGGACTGTTAAATCATCTTTTTGTACAGCTCAGATGAAACACTGGTTCTAATTGCTTTATGAGTGCGTCTTAATAGGCTATGGCTTCCCAGTAGCCTCCTTGTATTATTTTTATTTTTCAGTGATCTTTGCTCTCCATTATAGGTACCTAATGATCATATAAATTACGACAGCAAACACAGTGATACATTTATTCTACTTCAACGTAATAAAATAGAGTAATTTAATGCCGGTTCGTTTATTTACCTATAATGTTGATAAAATCGCTATTTAAACAATTATAATGGCGTTATTAAGGCAGCCCTCCTGTGAGCTGACTCCGTTCCGCATAGCAGCTGTTGCTGGGGTGAGTTGCGAGAAAAATCCGGTCCGGGTGTTCCAGCCGCCCGGTCCTCTCCACTGAACTCCAACCCCCGCGCTCTCTATCAGCATCTCATTCCTGTCTCAATATGTCTCAAGATGGCGGCCAATGCAGGATCGATGTTTCAATATTGGAAGCGCTTTGACTTACAACAACTACAGGTCAGTTCAACCTCTGCTTTACCGGATTACTCTCTATTCGCCTCGGCTGTCTTGTCTCCTTCGGTGGCTGTGTTTTGTGTTTTTCGGCAGCCGTGTTGTAGGTGTTTAGGACGAGAATTCAAGACCTCTTCCTCACATTGATGAAAGTGGCTCTCTCGCTGATCAGAAATTGATCCTCTTTGTTCAATTCAACATCGATCGGACACTGCAACCGGGCAAGCCGGGGCGACGCCGCGGGGATGCGCCGAAATAAAAACAAAACGGCAGGGCTTTGGCGAAAAGCTTTCGGTTAGCTGTCTTTGTTGCGTGTTCTTCAACTTTTACTGGAGCGAGTAGCCGTAGTTAGCCCGACGCTTTAGCCGTTGTAAGGCTGGATAATTTGGGGGAAAAATAAGTGCGACTCATTATACGGTGGCGCTGTGGTGACACCAACCGCGGAGACGGCCAGCACCGACAGACAACAACGCTTTGCTTGTGTTTTTTATTGCTTTTAACTGTGAAATGTCCAAGTTTACCTGGGAACGAATGAAAACATTAGCAGCGTTATCAGCTAACATGTTTAAAACAGTTTATACTGAAGTCCTCTCTCTGTTATGGTTGATGAACTCGATCGTTTTTTTTCCGGTTTCCCTGACGGCAAATACACACTGTGAGGTTTTCACAGACCTTGCCACGTCTGTGAAAGTGGACGGGACAGTGCTGATGCGATGCTATTCAGTAAACAATACTAGAAATAGGAACGATCATAACCTTGTTGATTATCATGAACTCCCCCAGAAATGTCCCAACAACCTCGTGCACGCCTCAATCTCGGCGTGCACGTGGCAGATCCATGGCACAGTAAAGGATATGAGGCAAATATTGGGCCTATTCAGTGTGAATATAGCCTGTGTATATTAGAGCGCGTTTGACCTATCACAAGACATGGAGACAATGGCACTGTTGTGTTTCTCCTGGCATTTAACGTGCATTGCTGAATTTCAAATAACAATTTATGAATATTACTAGTCCAGTAGCTGTCGTCATTAACATAAGATTGCATTATCTAGGTTGGCCCAATTGTTCAGACATGAATTTGTAAATCGCACAGGCTTGAGGTTTAAACTTTTATTTAGGTCATGATGCCCCTGTGACTATGTAGACAAAAGGACAGTGAACAAGTCTTCCCAGCGGGCTTTGTGTTGCACTTAATGCCACATCATCAAGGCTTCACTTCTCCTATTTATTTGATCCTGTTTGGGCCTCCTACTCGTCCCCCCTAGTTCATGCATTATGTAAAAAAAATTCAGAGTGGTTTCTCTTTTTTTTTTCCTGCACTTTGTGTGTGTGTGTGTGTGTGTGTGTGTGTGTGTGAATTTGTCTGAGATTGGTCTTTTTCGTAGATTGACTGCCAGCACAGACAGCGAAGGCACTGCCAGCAGCCAGGACATGAAAAATGCATCGCATAAGTTTGTGATAAGGCCCAGGGTAATTATGGCAAAGGCCCCTATCACAAGCGATTAGTCAGGACAGTGAATCTGAGCGTGTGCAAAAAGGGTGGCGGTTGGCAGGCCTGTCTGCAGGATAGGAATCAGTTGGAGCTGGTGTGTGTGTGTGTGCACGCGCGTGCGTGCGTGTGTGCAGAGCTGCTCAGAAGATTCACTGTCTGTTATTGATGACATCTTATTTACTGTCCCTTCTACTGAGATGCTCCTAGAGGAAAGCCCTCAGAGTAGACATTTTTTAAGTTTATTTTTTTTTTTAGGATAATGTGGGGTTAGCATGATATGATCATGGTCTACACATGGCTTTGTCAGCCAATTGCTTTCTCATTTGCTTCTTCCTCGTGACTGAATGGGCAGCGTGCACTGTACACTTAAAATCACAGTCACTTTTGTGTATGTGAGAGGCACCAGCAAAGGGATGTTTTTTCCTTTTCTTTTTGTTTCTTTTGATGATGAAAATCCAGCCCAACCTAGTTGTCAGTAGCTTTAAGCCATTGTAGCGTCTATTCCTCAGGCTCCAGCTGCTGATGTTCATTAAAATCCTATTTGATCAACGTGTCCTATTCTCTGTGTGAGAAACTAGCTAGGTGGTTGTTACAGGACGGAGAGGGCTTTGAAACAGCACAGCGAGCTGTTAACTTGTCTTCTCTGCATGCTCCCCCCACCCCCAACCACCACTACAAACATAAATGGGTGCAACAGTGATGCTTTTAGCAAGGTCTCACGCACTTGCAAAATGGATCAGTGATTCAGAGATGATGGCAGGGTGACAGTGAATTACAGATGGAGGAGGTTTTAACGTCTGTAATCCCTGTCCGTCCATTACAGAGTTGAATTTCTTTAGAGGGGGTCATCACTCTTCTCTCCTGTTGTCTTTTTCTTTTTTTCAACTTGGTCAAGCAGTTTGCTGGAACATTGTGTTTCTGCTTGTGAGTGAAGAGAGAATGCGCTTCATTACAGGCAAGCGTTAATAAGACAGGAGTGAATAGTAAAGCCTGAGCCTATATTTTATATTTTCTGTGTGTAAGCTCAGGAAATTAAGAACAGGCTCTTCTGTTATACACTATTCCCAGTTGAAGCCCAATAAGCTTGCATCTCACCTCATAACATTTCCTGGAACAAAGCACCCTAGAGCCATTTTGAAAAATAGTTCACTATGTTAGCGGACAACTAAATAGTGACTTAGATGAAAACTGATCTAGAGCTCGTTCTTATTCACCACCTCCTAATGGGTAAAATTGGAAAAAAGAGTTTTGTAAGCCGATCCCATTGGCAACCTGAGTAGTTTAAAATCTCTCAGCAACTGGCCCGCTGTTGTCTGCAGGAGTTTTAGTGTTAATTTATGAGCTGGTTGTCTGAACTCACTGGTGGGATATTTTTACCCCTCTGTTGCTGCACAGGCTGGGGGAGCACAGAGGAAGGGGCATCACGTCATGCTTTTACTGTAGCCAACCGGTTCTCTGCCCAGTGACAAAACCTGGCATTGGGACTGAGGTTTCACTGTGTGTTGGTGGATGGTGAGCGACTTAGCGTGAGTCAGAGACAGGGATGAGTGCATGTCAGGTCTTTGGTCTGCCCTCGGTCTACTTCGGTTGGAGCTCTTGTCATCCTACTTTCAAAGAGGTTATAGTGTATCCTTATGAAGGATACAGTCTGTATTGCTCAGAGGGATGTGCAGCTCTCAAAACGCATCCCCCTAGTCTTCATATATCTTATCAGCAGGTAGTTCTCAGTGGAGGCCCATATTCCCCTACACCTCAGTGATTTAGGGCGCGTCACACTCGGACTCGATTTGTCCACCCTCCCTCTGCTTTGAAGAGTTTCTACACCAGACTCAGTTCATCCAATTTCATACAGAAATTATATATAATAATCCCACTACTCAGTTAAATCATTTTTAAGTTGGTGTGGTAAAAGGAATTTTGAGCAGTGTCATCTGATGTTTGAACAAAAGATAAAAAGCACTTAACAGAAATCTAAAAATAGGGGCACCCAAACAGATGGAGTCTGCAGCTCTTAATGCAGGCTTGAGGCAAAAATGTGTGACAAACAGACACGTTCCCTGAAAGGCGTGGAAGTTTTTTCTTACAATAAAAATTGTTTTATTTGTTTCCATGTTTTGTAATTTTAGATTGAGTGACGTTGGAACAGAGTCTGAGGGGATACTTGAACTGCCTGGCCTTAAGACGGTCCAGGTGTTATTATGAGATGCAACTATAAATCTTTTAAAAACTGTGTTTTTGCCTGTTTTGTTGTGTTAGGTATTTTTAGTCAGATAGATATTGGATAGATACTTTATGTATTAGAAATTTTTAGTAGAGATAGGATGTCTAGTTAGACTGTTAAATGCTCAGGCATGCTTATGAGTTTCTACAGGGTACATCTGGTCAAGGATAACTAGAGAGAAAAGTTGATGACTGTCAGCAGACAGGATGTTTAATATTATTATTATGACGTGTATAACTGTAGCCTTAGCCATAATAT